CCCCTGCCTTTACCGCCTGCTCCTGGGGGGGGTCCCCCGGGCAGGGATCAGCCGCAGTGCCTTCGGCCTCGCGGGAGGCACCACCAGCAATTGCAGTCCCGAAAGTCCCGATTTCTGCCAGGCGGGGGGGGAGCAGAGCCAGCCAAACGCGGCCTGCAAAGCGGCGCTTTGCCCAGTGCCAGCTCGGCGAGGGGCTCGGCGACCGCCTTGCTGCCTCCCTGCTACCCGCGAGTCGATGGGGTGAAGCTCTTCACCGCGAAGGAGGTAGCCGACTTCCTCCAAGCAGCTCTTTAGGCAAAGTCCACATCTGCTATCCATTACGTTCAGCGCAAGACACGAAGCAGACACCCACCAGAGAGCCGACCTGCTCCGGACTCGCGGCCTGAGCGCCCAGCTGACTCAAGCGGCGACATGACGAATGTGCGTTTTATTTCCTCCCGGCTGAGTCACGGTGACAGGAGCCAGCTTTCTTTTCAAAGGACTCGAGAAAGAAAAGACGAAACGTGCTCAGAACAGGGACCGAGACGCCAAGAGCTCCTGGTTCTGCTCGGATTTGGAAATAATCTCCATGATAAAATTATTCGCGTTGCAGCAGCACCTCCAGCGCTGGCAGCTCAATAACCGCAGTGGCAGAAACTCCTCCACCTTCTTTAAACCTTGCAGGCGCAACAGGGCCAAGGCAGCGATGTGCCCAAAGCCCTGATACGCCCCAGCAGGACGGGGCAGGGGTGCCCTTAAACCTCCCACATCCCCGCTTAAAAACCCAGCAAGAGCCGGTGCTCGTCGCAGAGGAGCCGCGTCCGCCCTGCGACGGGGACGCCGATAATCCCACAGGCAGAACCGGCGCAGACGTTTCCCGAATCCTCCCTCCCCAAGCGCCCGTGGTTCGCAGCACGCGCTCTACCTGCTCAGGCTGAAATTCTGGTATTTCTGAACACCCGCTATTCACTTTTGCAATTTTAACAATCGCCTCTTTGGCCCACTGGTTCTGCTGCGTACCCGTTGCTGTAAGGCGCTCCTCAGGCTCCTACTAAATCACGATAAAGCCAGTTTAGAGCCTGAAGCAGGGCCACAAAACAGGGCAGGCGGGCGAGGGTCCCGCAAGGGCTCCAGCCAGAAAGCTGGCACCCCGGGGATTTTTCCCCCTTTACATCTTTTGCATCCGTTTCTCGACACGCTGCCGCGCGTTTTTTACGATTCAGTTTTACTCTTGTAGCGCTTATTCGGGGCACGCAAACGAGCAATTAGCGGGGCTGCACGGGGGAACGCCGCTTGAATCCGAACGCCGCGCCGGCTGCTCGTCAGTCGGGGAGAGGCGCGTTTCCAGGCGATAAACCCGAGGCCTCTCGAGGCAGGAGGCAGCGAGCCGACCCGCGGCGCAGCGCCCCACC